GAGAATTCCGATATATTGGTCATCGCCAAATATACTCTTCCGATCTCCTCGACTCTGTCTTTTGATTTCTCTAGGCGGGAACGAAATATATTAGAAGGTGTTACTGGTAGAAGCGTTGTCAAACACTGAATACCTGTGACATCATCAACTGAATGTAACATGTTACAAACTCGAAAGAACTAGAAGCAACTTACAACTTAGTTGCAAATAAAACAGCCTGAAAAATGAACGATTCCGACGCAACCTACGAATTCAACCCAGATGGTAGAGAATAAAAATACAGATAAACTACTAGATATACATGAAAGCACAACACGCCATTTCTAAAAATAATGAAGAGGATTTTAGCGATGCATTAACTATTTTACTCGATGAAATTACTGTACGCCAGATTGCTATTATTTGATTAGTTAAATTAATCACCCTTAAGGGTGAAGAAATCAAGTTTCGATGATTCAAGTTTCTGCATGTATTGATGTTAAAAATTTTGGTAACCCATCTACTGACTGAATTGGGGCGCGACATGTTCTTCGATTCCTAACTTTTCATGTTTTTAAATAAATCTGTAATTACTGAACATTGAAACTGACTTCACATTAGGCTGAAGGCGCTCGGTCACATATCAGCACCAGTGGACACTTCGAGCGACGCATCTCTTGCAATTACTTTCCAGTTTATATCAAACTCAGGTCAACTTATCGACAACTTCGAATTCTACCTTCAAATCCTTCATTGCTGAGTCCTGACTTAACTACGTTGGTATACCTTGATCATAAAGGTGTTACGTGTAATCTGCTGCTTCTTTGTGGTGAGCCCGATATGATCTGGTACGTCAAACAAAAAACTACAAGTCTTAATTGGAATCATTAACCGGTCAGTGCTCGACTAGCATTTGAAACCTGAAAACATTGGACAAACTTTTTGTCCTCGTACGGGAGTATGCGGCAGTGCTCATCTACGACCATACAGTGGTACTAGTCTACGAGTCTATTCCTAGTTGCAACACTATATATCATTTTTTGGTTTTCATTTTATTGCATATCGGAACATTACTTCTGTATTGTGGGATATTTTTTACCCAGTTAAATATTTTATCCTCATTATGACTGAACAGACCCAGGAGCTGTTTAAGATTGATACTTTTTCGCCTCACACCCTTCAACTCATGTCATTCCTGCTCGATAATATCGAAGTGTGGTTCAGCTACATAGGATCTGACTCACAAGAGCACGGCAAGATAGACTCACTTGCCCTATTCGTCACAGTAATGAAGGTACTACCACGTGGTTTTAGCAGGTACGTCACACCTATTATGTATGCTGGTGATAATTCTGAACTTAACAAAACTATAAGGGAGGCGATCCCTATACATGTACAACTAACTGACCGGCAAATTTTAGACCAACTCTTCCATAACATCGAGTGACAACACGACCCAGCAACAGAAATGATGCTACATATGCGAGAGGTCATTACTCAACAGACATTTGATGAGGGCATATTTAGACAGCTTTGCTTCTAAAATCTCACCCAACAGGTGCAAGTGGTTCCTACAGCGTTTTGAATAACGCTGTAGACAAGCTGGCTTCATCCGCTGACTGGAGTCTGGAGATCGCTAGGACTCTCAACATCAAGGTTTGTTCTGTCAAGGAAAAGCCTCAAACGACATAAAATGACATTAGAGGTCTTTGGAATTCTCCTGCTCGTCATCTTCATATTCATCATGACCACAAACTCTTCCGGATTCCTAGGAGAATCGCGTCAAGAGGAAGATGTGTTTCTCAACCACGGGAGACAGACAACCCTGATTGGTGTTAGCACGACAACAACCACTGTAAGTTTTCAAGAAATTGTTGAGAACTGCGCAGTATCCTAGTCTCTGTACCGTCTGACAGGACAAACCCTCGCGGAATATTCGCTCGTTTAATGCGTTAACGATGACACATGTCGGCCACACACCTCACATGCACACGGTCTCCAAATAGGACAGTGTGCTGTTACGGGTTCAAATGGTAATTGTCGACGACTGGATGTGTTTCAACTCCCCTTATTACGACCCAGCTAATCCTATTGCACTCTAGTATTGTACACTACTTAATATGACAAGTTACCAAGTCAAAACAAAGTGACACAGGAACGAAGTTTTATTTCAAATAACAAAGGTAGATGTAAGTAAAGATTCCAACAAGAAAAATGTTGATTTCATTATAATTTTTACATGAGAAGATACTAGAGTCCTCTCCAAGTATCCACTAGCGCTGAATAACTAAGAAATAGCCAATCACCACGCCTGAACATAATTCTGCACGGAACATGCATTAATCCTATCTGTATTCCGCCAACAGAATAAGAAAATCACTCCGCGTCGTTAACCCTTGCCACGCATCCACGACTTGACGATTACCTTAAATGGTACAACTGTTTTATTAAAAATCGAAATGGTTAAATACATGTAACCAAATTCATATGGCTACAAACGACATTCTTAACATGGCTCTCATCACTCCGTTCGGACTCTACAAATTTTGCGCATGCCTTCCGGTTTAAGAAATGCTGCACACTCATTTTCGGAGGTTCATCAATGAAGGGCTCGCAGGCCTCAATTTTATGCGCGCGTGTGTAAATGAATGCTTGACTGCTAGTTCGGACAAGGGCTTCCCTCTCCAACATCTAGACCTTGTTTTCGAACGACAGCAAAACAGGATATTACTGCAAACATTCAGAAACATCAAGTCGAAACGGACTTTGTTCACTTTCTCGGGCACTCTATTGACGCTCACAGTATTCATGCAACCAACGGTTCATACCGGATTGCTCATCTCTTATGAGACCCTTAATAGGCCAACTCTTTCAAAATGCGTAACTCATCAATTTGGTTGACGACAGTGAGTATACAACACGTGATAACCTTTGGCACTGTTCTTGAGACGTTTTTAAAACATTGAATTTACGTATGGCAATTTCAACAGGGAACTCCTAGCCATGTATATTGCTTAGCTACACTTTCAACATTCTGTGGAATATAGGGAATCCATTCTTATCACTGACCACAAAGCCCTCATCTTTTCTTCGACCTTGTCTTCGGAAAAGTACTCTCCCCTAGATTCTTGACAAGTGGGCTACGTTTCACAGTTTACTTCAGATACACAGTATATTTCTGGGAAAGACAATGTAGTTGCAGACTCCTTGTCTCGTATAACTTCGTCAAACCATCTTCAAGGAATTGTTCTTTTCAAACTCGTTCAGATTCGAAAAAAAAACACTGATCTCCAGAACGAGTTTTCTTCAATAACTCTGAATGTACAGGTCGAGAAAATAAATTTTACTATGTCACACATCTATAGTTAGGGATAATTTAATCTTACCAAAACATTTTAAACACAACGTCTTCAATACGTTGCACAGACTTTCTCATCCATGTGTTCGAGCAATAATCACAGAACAACAATTTTGTTGGCTCAGTATGAATAAAGACGTGAGGGCGTGTCTATGTTCCCCTGTAAGCTGCCAGATATCTAAGGTAAATAAATTCACCAAATAAACAGTTCTTTCAGTCTTCAACATTGATGCTGACTGCATCAGTTTTACCAGCTACACTTAACTCAAGACTACAGGTCACGCATCCTCACCAAATCACAAACGGGAACGCTGCGCTATGCATCTGTCGGAACTACTAGTTAGCTTAGATTAAGCGATACTCAATATATATAACTTTTCGAACATATCTTTGAACTCCTTTACTTCCGATTTCTGATTTGACTAGGTTACTATACCTCGATTATAAAGGTTTCACGTGTATAAGAGTTGTTACACTCCCACAATCGTTTCATCTTTAGAGGTTTCTTCTTCGTTTTAGATTCCTAGAAACTAAGGAAGATAACTTTTAGTGTTATTCCACAATTCATCCTCACCTAATACCTCTTAGATGGAAATCACAAGGAATGGGCATTTCTCTGATTCTGTCCATGTGAAGTTTGAGGCCTTAATGTGAACGCCGTTTATTGTGCTAAATAGACTACTGTGTCACTTTAAGAGACATTGTCTCTTTAGATAAGTTTATGTATTTCCTCGTCTAATGTAGGAGTTAATAAACCGTTATTGAATAATCCTAGACGGCAACAATCTAAGTGGTTAACAGACGAGCGTTATATATTAAGAAGCAGATGTACAATATGTATATCCCAAGGGGAATAAGTTATCCACATATTGTTAACTTTGAGTAACATGAATGACTAATTTCTTCGGGTACCTTTAATATACACTTCTCATAGGCATCTATACCTTTTAGCAACACCGGTCCCCCTTCTAATTTTGTTGAGAATATAAAGAGTAATTAGGGATTATCGAACAATGGTTATCCAAAAGTACATTCGATTGTATGTCACGGTGAAATGTGCCCATTTACTTCAGCTTCCCTGATAGTCGTTTCAGTATCTGCATAAATAAGATAAACACATTTTAGTGGTAACAATAATTACATGTACAAGTATGCTTTCCTATTATCGGCAGCTGCACCGCATGTTACCAGGAGAGATCCCAGGAAAATAAGGTTCTTACTTTGTACATGGACGTAATGAGTATATGTCATCTTCAACTATTAGAATTATGCTTCTTCTACACTCTGGAGAACTTTCGAAGAATTTTCAAATTCACCTCATATCAAGAATATTTGATAAAGGATTGCCTGACGAGAAGTACCAGTTAGGTCGGCCGAATTACCCTCATGAGTATTTGACGCTACATTAGCACCGAGTAAATGGACAGAAATTATGACAGTTACAGAGAGATGTAATATACAAATTTATCTACTACTAGCTATATTTCAACAGTTATAAGTTCATTCCAGAGGTTTTCTTTATCTGTAAGGTATTTGAAAAACACATGAATATGCGTTATTCGGCGTTTTCCGATAGATACAGGTCTTCTAATCGTAAACACTACCAAGTTAAACTGGCTCGCAAACGTCTCAGCGACTAAGGATACTTCAAACGTGAAATGATCGCTTTGGGGCGGCTCAAGGTCGCTGAGTCGAAAGGCGGTAATTCTGTACCTTTGCACCAATGTTATGTCTTTTTAACGGGCTGTTATTGATCAGTTGTTTTCTTCACATTGATCACTTAATGTTGCAAGCCCTTCCAGGTCATAGTAATTCAGTATATCATACTTGGTGATTTTCTGATGGATGACCAAAGTAAACCTCAGCTTGAAGACGGGACCGGGGAACAACATCAGTCAGATACTTTCGAAATAGATGAAGTTGATTTGCCTAACGTGAACGATGAAGAAATATACCTTGAACACTGCCGAATCAAATGTATCAGTAAACTAAGTCGGTTTCCAAATGTTCGCTCATTATGTCTTCGAAACAACTTACTGAAAAAGTTGGAAAACTTCGAGCCTATCTCTCAAACCCTTGAAGATCTGGACGTTTATGATAATCAGATCACTAAGGTAAACTTTTCAACCAAATGTGAATGACCATTTTTGTCCCGGTGTATATCGTAACAGTGTGATAGGTCTACCATATACGGCATATAATTGCTTTAGAATTACTGTCGACTTGTTGGTTAGCAACATATTGGTACCCATTAGTTTATCCATGTGACTGGTCTTCTTACGCGCTCGTTACACAAACGTCTTAACTTACGGTGACAGTGGTTAGCCTAGCATTACCAAATAAGTAATATGTCAGCAGTTCTGATACGACTGAACTAGTTAGACCTTCTCAAAGTAACATGTTTCACCTTGTTAGCTGAATTAACATTGTAACTGGGACTCATTGTCGTTACCCATCCAAGTAATATTAGACAAATATATTTCAATCTGTATTAGAATAGCTTTCTAGGAATTGAAATATGTAGTTTCTCAAAATAAAAACTGCCATACTGACAACTTAAGTTTTAACAACAGTATCTTGCCTACTAGGAACAACCAGCACCTCTACCAGTAATGAGTATGTTGATTAAATGTTTGATTGAAAGACATGTTATATCCCTAAACAACGTAGGACCTGACTCATATATATCGTCGCAAGTCACCACACTGCAAATCAACGGGATGAAAACTTGGGAGTCGGGATGACATCACTGATAGTGGGGGACTAAATATATAAAATATAGTAAGGAAGAAAGAGACAATAGGAGAAAAAATGAAAAGTTTGGAATATTATCTAGACTCAGGATTTAGAGGTTAAATAATGAGAGCAGTTACGTTACTGTGACTAATTTCAACTCATTCCAGTCGGGATCTCCAACTATAGATCACATTATTCCTGATCCTAATGGGGAAGTCTGTACTTGACCCTACAATCGATGGACTCATGTTCCATTCGTCTTCCTGAAACGACAATGTGTGATTAGTCTGAGACATTTTTCTAAGACTGTAGATTGTAAGCATGTATACATTATACCTATTTCCAAACCCTTGATTATTCATTCAACCTTTACTTGCCGGTGTTAAGATTACGTTATTCATCTTTGGGCATCCTTAAATCCCTTGAGTCAATTATATAAATATTCAGGTATGGTAAAGTTAGGTGCATAATGCACTCATCGACTAGGTCTCGTAAACATTTAACAAATAGGTTGCTTGGAGCATTTTACGTATCCTTGGCCGCTGCGCACATTGATACGAGGTGAGTTAAAGTCGAGGCTGATCATGTCAAACTTCAAGTGGTTAAACAAAACAAATTTATTGACTGGCAAGGTCTACAAGGCAATAAAAATTAAGGGTTAATTGTCGGGTGGTGTAAATGTTTCGTTGTTTATGACGAATGTATTCAACATACTCGTTCTTTTTCCACCAGTGTCCTCTGTATTATCATAACCATCATGCTTACTATTATTTGATTGCCTTCACCCTCACTGTTATGACCTTGGATGTCTGACTTTTCGATCACACGATTTATCTACCAATCCGAATACGACTTATACGAATCTTCACACTAGGCCAACCAATGACGTTCAACCGGTGTGGGCAGTTTAGCGTCCTTATTGGTCCTATGTCCTACGAGCCCTTCCACTTGAGTCCAGAACAAGATACCAGCTTCCGAATCAGAGCAGATCGTTTATTTCAGGCATACTTGGTTTATATATCAATCACACAGACCGCAACGTACCATAAAATAGGAAATAATATTTGTACACATAAGCCCAAAAAGTGGCTGTGAATGTGGGAGGCAGTAGTTAATAAACTGAACATAACTTAAGAACCGTAAATCGTACAATAATAAGTTATAGGTCAAAATAAAGCTTATCATAAAAGGAATATAAATATACATAGTGTAATTGTTGAGTAGTTATACAATAAGAATATTTATAGAATATTAGTCCATGAATAGTCCTTGGAATTTACCTGTAATTTAATCTTCACCGGATATAACACTCACCATTATGTTTACAAAGTTTGTCATCATAAACGAATAAAATGAACTCAGACTTAATTGCGATTTTATTTACTTATTTAAACACATAAACATTGGTACAAGGAGGCACCAAGTAGATATGCGCCACATAAATCATTCGATTTGTGTGAGGGTTGTGATACTGCCTGGGTGCCCAAACCGAAGCAGGTGGTTTTCTCAGTGGGCCACACCCCGAGCCTTTGACCTATAGGTCTGACCCACAAGGCAGTGGAGCATCGTGAGGAGATGCAGTTCCATGGTAGCCGATGACCAACGATTGGTTCATACGCCATTTGTTCCCGCAGGATACTGGAACCCATGTGCTTCATTGGTTTGAAATCCGGTTAAAGCGCCGGACATTTGCTTTTCGTCCTCCCAATTTCGTAAACAACACCCCCACCACGAGAAGGCAGTGGGTAGGACTTCCCTGGCAGGAGCTGTATACACGTGGCCGTGTGAGTGCATCCCGAGAGGGAGGGCGGGCCCACCCATTCACGGCCATACCAGGGCATTTGGGGGCTAATCGCGATTTAAACTGTTGCAAGTCAAATATATATTCCATAATACAATCATGTAAGGCTACTATAAGCCTTACTATGAAGATTCTTGTAACGCTTCTATGTATCTTATTTTCAGATTGAAAATTTAGAGTGCCTCACAAAACTGACTAATCTTGATTTGAGCTTTAATCGGATAAGACGTATCGAAAACTTGGAGAATCTAAGTAATCTCCGGAAACTGTATTTCGTAAACAATCATATCTCAAAAATAGAGAATCTGAGCAACTTGCAAGACCTAGAATTGTTGGAACTTGGTTCAAACAAAATAGGGAAGTTAGAAAATTTGGATGGATTGAAAAAATTGACTGAACTTTATTGTGGTAAAAACAAAATACCAACAATGGAAAACTTGGATAACTTGACTAATTTAACCATTCTTAGCATTCAGGTGAGTATATTTTCTTATATTACATACACCAAGATATATTTTGGACTTGAGGTATAGCTTATACAAACTTTAGAAACAAACAATTTTGCTGGTAGGCGCGAAATAGATAAAGTCACAAATACAAATGAAACTGAAGACTTTTAAACAGGTTAGTAAAAATGCAGCAAATCTAGGGTCCGAAAGTGAGGTATTATTGCTGATATAGTAATGTATTTTCCATAGATAAACAGAACCCCTAGAAATCCGGTCTGTTGTTGTTAAACTCATGTCGGTTGTAGTCGCCACTAATGGAAGATCTGTCCAGCCTTCGTGAGATAGTACAAATTAAGACAGCCACCCTAAATAGTACCGTCCGACTTGATCATTGCAAATGTAAGAGTAATAGCTTTCACTCGAAATTAAACAATTTGTCTGATTTTTCCAAAACATGATTAATGGTAGCTGTATGGTTAAGTCCACTTTTAAGGAAACCCTTATCACAACACAAGCAAACAATAGTCGAGCATCCATGAGTATAAGATAATTTAGGTTATGTATACTAAACTTGTAATTCTCAAACTTGTTCTAGTTGACTGAAGGCAAAGCTTCAGTTACTACAAAATAACGTCACAAGGAAGCAGTATTACAAGATTCACTAAGTATCCCTTTAATTGTTATGATTGTCAAACTCGACTAACGTTTTTTGTCTTCATCTTCCATTTAATTAATTATATAGGGTAACAGACTCACCAAAATAGATGGATTAACCAGTCTTGTTAATCTGGAGCAACTATATCTGAGCGAGAACGGGATAACAGAAATTGAAGGCCTTGAAACATTATCAAAGTTACAAATTTTAGACCTGGCGTACAACTTCATATCACAGATTAAAAACATGTCGAATTTGGAAAATCTAGAAGAATTTTGGTGCAATGACAATAAGATATCCGATTGGGAGCAGCTAGAAAAGTTAAGTGTATTAAAAAAGCTGCGAACTTTGTATATGGAACGTAATCCAATCTATTTTCTAAGCACAGATCGTACAAAACATGATTCTAATTACCGACGAAAAATACTGTTAGCTCTACCGAATCTTCAACAACTGGATGCAAATCTTACAGGGGTTGGGATCTGATTACATCTTTGCTGTAACTGGTTTCCCAATTTTTTCCTGCGGCTTCAGATCTATTGTTTTTAAGCTTTGCAGGAAATTGTGACTGAATTTAATGTACTTTTTATACATGTATCTGTGTTATATATTAAGATCTTAAAATATGCAACTTACCAAACCAACGTGCTAATAAATTTCCTACTTAGCGATGATTAAAAACACAACAGTCTCTTAGTGTCTACATTTATTCGTCTTTAAAGCAATGTATGCCGTTAAAAGAATGTATGGGTCGTGGCCAGATTCAAACAGAATCCACTCACGGTGAAGATACTTTACTGAAACTTGACGTTCAATGATGAGTGCACTATGCACAACTGATGCAGAGCAATGACGCGCGAAAATCCTTAGTCGAACCCTATATATGTATACCAAGTGACCATCTTGAAAGCAGTAAGAATACATCTAGTTTGTTTTGCTTATTGGCGCACTACAAAGAGGGCATCGTTGGGCTACTAATAAAAAATGATGTAATTAGATTTTAACCATAGTAAAGTAATAAGTACCGTTGTTTCGACAAACATTCACCTTTGTAAACATGAACCGTACGGAATAAGTTTATTTAGCCAAAGTGGGAATTCGATATAATCATTTATTTTGTAAGCAGTATTTTTGCAAATTCCAAAGACATTTAATTTATTGCAAGTATCCTAAACTGATGTAATATCACTACTTGGAGTCATTTAGTCACAAAAACTACTGTACTAATTTATTATTTGAAAGATATTTTTTCGTATAACAAATTTCTGCATAAATATGGATATTATTCATAAGCATATGTATAATTGATTTAAGCAATGTTTTATTATCAATTATTGACACAAACTACGCAACTTGCGACAACTTAATGAGCATGGTAGAAAATGTGCAACGATTATGTGTCGTCAATTATATCTAAGAAGTCTGGAAAACCTAATCCACGTATCGCGAATAGTTCAGCTCGCTTCTTGGCTAGTTCTTTGCGCGAGGCTGTCTGTTCTTGCTGGAGCTTATAAATCTCTTCTTCTGAAACTCTTTCTAGCTTCTCGTCGATGTTTATTTCCGGATTCTGTAAAGGAGGGAGAAAAATGCACTTCCTTAACAAATGTGCAAATGAATTCCTGTCTGTTGGGAAAATCGTTTGAGTTCTTAACTTGGGCAACTGGGTTGTACTCGTAGCCCTCACTTAAATTGCAGCTTGGAACATACTACATAAGAGTTCACTTTGTCAGTAACGCTCACCTTGCTGATAGTTTAATAGTAATTGGCTTTGTGCTACTGTCACATATAAACAAAGTGGGTAAGATAAAATGAAATATTTCATTCAGAATGTTAAGCAGATCGGGATCCAAGCAGGCTTTTAACATCCGAGTTTAAACTATTAACCACTGATCTAGACCACAAAACAATTTATTTAACCAAGGCACTAACATGGACCAGTCTTGGAGTATGCGTCACTAATAACAGCATGTAACTGTTCTTACCTATGTTTATGTTCAGGTGACTGGACATTCCTGCGACATTTTCAGTTAACCAAACTATTACATGGCTTCATCAAAAGTTACACAAATGCTTGGGAGATCGACCTATGGAAAGTTCTACTTGCACAAATCAATGGCAGATGTTACTGTGGTTCTTTGTTTTGAGTGATTATGATAAGTTTCAACAAACATCTTTTGGTACCGCATAGATTATTATTATTAACAAACAGACCAGTAGAAACTGTTGAATGAGATTCGGATGAGCATTACTTTTTATACCTATTAATTTAGGCTTATTCCAACAAAAAGTTACTACTACCAAATTAAGATTTTCGTTTATGCGGAGTAAGTTGGGAAATAGTGTTTTTGATCAGCTCTGGCTAGTGGTTATCACTGAATTTATCGGAAAGTCCATCTGAACTAGGAATGCGATTACACGACGACGAACATCTGTTTATATTCTTAACTATCTAATTATTTGTACACTTCTTATTACGTAATTTCGACAATGTTTTCTGATTATTATTTCTAAGTTTACTTATCTAAGTTGAACCTTATTATGTCGAACTAATATATATATATATATATATATATATATATATATATATATATATATATATATATATATAATTAAAAAGTTTACTATCTTACCAGTTCCCCGATAATTGTAATATTTTCACCTCTAATTAAAAGTATTCCCTGGGGAACGTCACAGAATTTTTTCGCCACATGAATACGTTCCACAGCATTATGAAGGACGACGTTGCCTACCGATATATAAATTGGATATGATATCTTACCGAACTGGTCAATTATTCGAAGAAATCCAATAAACACACGACCTCCTCGTACAATAATCGCCATTTTTTCTACAAAAGATCGTTGGGCCACCAATCACAACGAACTTCCAATATCCTGAATTAGACTAGCAGCTCCCGGATAGTTATTTTCAGACGACGGCATCTCAAAATAAAGTGAATAAATGAAATAGTAATCGGAAGTAAATTAGTGAATTGTGTTACGTTGTGCGACGGTTAGTAGAGAATAAAAAAAATACCAATAGAGTCACACATGAGTTTGTATATTATAGTGTACCTGCTTCTCAGGACAAACTGACTATGTATCTCCATTGGGTCATTTAGAGGAAAGATTGAGTGAAATACTTCCTGAAATTGTCTAATTATAGCTAGGCGCTATATTAACCTATAAGTTATACAGATAACACTGAAATATTAGTGATGTGGCAAGTTAGCCATCATTATGAACGAAGATATCCAAAAAATTAAAATACAGAAGAGCTATACCACTGAGCCAATAGTATAAGTGTAAACAAACTCAGCGTAACGAGGAGTCTATCGAAACAGGGTTGAGAATTACTAATGGGAGTAAGAGTATTCATCATGAACTGATATCAGTTATGATGCGAGAATCTAAACTCCAAATTAAAAGTCCCAACAGTATAATATATCATTTTAAAAAATCTTTACTGTCTCTTGGTAGACTGTCGCGATGGACCAACCAGTTTATACTGGCTGGAACAATCGTTCTTTAAGATCCTAACATGCCGAGCAGATCGGCTGAGGGACAGCAAGACTAAAAGTAGCAAATCTAATGTCCGAGGGAGAAGTCGTACTGCTGACCGTAGAGGTGTAACGGCAGTAAGTTGTTTCCCTCAGACAACCAGCGTGATGGCGGTGCTACTTTCCCACAAAAGAAGAGTTGGGTTAGAAAGGTCAATCATAAAGATGTATACCTCGTCTTATCTCACGAATATCCGTCTCAACGAGTACGGAGCTAGAACAAAAATTACTCACAAAATGGTCGTGTGTGACCGGCCTTAAACAGTTGTCCCTTGGGCACTGCGGTCACGCTCTCAGGTCACTGAGACCACCTCTAATCCAAGTTCCTTTTCAGATACCTTGAGAAGAGCCCTTCCACGGTGTGAGCAACCGGGAAGTGATAAACACCCTCATATTTCTAACAGGACTCAAGATCACCGTATTCATAATCAATTTCCCTTCTCAATTCCTACTATTCCTCCTATCTCGACTATCAACTATAAACTTCCTCCTCAGATGTCACCATGGCCAACGATTCTATTGCGCGAAGTACCGTCCTAAGTCTACTGAAACCTCGCTCAAAACTACACATTAAAGTCTTCAACGTACATTATGTCAAATCGGCCAGCAGGTCTCCCCAGCTAATATCGTAGAATCTCGTATGATTGATGTATGTTTTGTCTCCGGAACACACATACAGGATCCTAGTGTGGTCACACACATAACTTCACCTAGTTAAAACAAGGAGCCAACGGGATACACCCTCCGTTTATCTGGCGACTCGACGGAAAGTCCTCGTGGACTGGTGAGTGTAGGTATAGTACTAGGTATGAGGGCAGAAGAAATACTTCTAGAATGGATCAATGTTAACAGTCGCCTATGTGCTGTTCGGACGAACGGCTCCGTAAGAACTCGGAAGGATAGGTATATACGTCAATGCCTTTGCGTCATTTCTGCCAACGCCCAAAATGATTGCAGCCCGGGTGAAGTGAAAGATGAATTTTACAGAAAGCTTTCTGAACTCCTTCAAAAAGCTAAACGCTCAGACATAGTACTCGTCTCAGGTGCGTATCTTGGTAGTCTGGTTCAGTTTCTTACGATCACTAATTTTAAGCATAATGAGAGACCCCCTGCACCAAACCGATGGTAGACTTAAATAGACCATATTGCCATCAGTCATCGGTAAAAGACCGCCGCTCTTTCTGGAATACATGTTGAGAAACTGACCGTGCTCTAATAAGAGCATGCATTCGCTTGAGCCTCACTGGACACAGAAAAGCCACATTAAAAGGACCCGTTATGATTGAATTGAGTACCCCGACTGTTGTTGCTACCTTGACGTGGTGGTCGGGCTTGCCTATCGTGATGAGGCAACCGAGCTATACTGGCTGGAACAACCGTTCCTCAAGGTCCTACCATGTCAGACAGGTCGGTTGAAGAGCGGTAAGACTAAAAGCAACAAACCCAAGGTCCGAAGGCGAAGTCGTACTGCTGACTGTACAGAGGTGTGACAGCAGTAAGGTGTTTCCTTCAGACAACCAGCATGACAGCGATGCTGTCTTCCCACAAGGAGGGGTGGGGTTAGAATAGGTCGACCCTAAAAATGCACACCTCACCTTACCTCACGGATTTCCGTCTCCGGCGGTAAGGCCCTTTGAAGAACGGAGCTAACACGTCAAAAACCTCCCACGAAAAGGCCGTGCGCGACCGGCCTCAAGCAGTTGTCCCTTGGGCACTGCGGTCACGCTCTCAGGTCACTGAGACCACCTCTAATCCAATTTCCTTTTCAGGTACCTCCAGAAGAACCCTTCCTCGGTGTGGGCAACTGGGAAGTGATAACCGCCCTCATACCTCTAACAGCACTCGAGACCACTGTATTCATAATCAACCTTCCTCTTCAATTCCTATTATTCCTCCTACATCGACTTTCCACTCTAAACTTCCTCTTTCGGCTTCCTCCTCAAGTATCACCATAGCCAACGATTCTAGTGCTCAAAACCCTGTCCCAGGTCTACTGAAACCTCGCTCCAAACTACACATTGGAGCCTTCAACGTACGCACTCTATGTTAAATCGGTCAGCAGGCTTCCTTGGCTAAAACCCTAGAGTCTCTTTCCATTGATGTATGCTGTGTCTCCGAAACACGCATACAGGATTCCAGTGTGGTCATTAACTCGACCTTACCTCGGCAAAACGTACAGCCAACGAGATACACCCTCCGTGTATCTGGTGACCCGATGGCCAGTTCTCGTGGACTGGCAGGTGTAGGCATAGCACTAAGCATGAGGGCGGAACAAGCACTGCTAGAGTGGATCCCCGTCAACAGTCGTCTATGTGCTGTTCGGTTAAACGGCTCCGTAAGAACTCGGAAGGATAGGGATACACATCGTTGCCTTTTCGTCGTTTCTGCCTACGCTCCCACTGACTGCAGCTCAGATTATGTGAAAGATGAATTTTACAGAAAGCTTTCTGAACTTCAGAAAGCTAAACGCTCAGACATAGTACTCGTAGCAGGTGACTTTAATGCTCAGATAGGTAGCTTAAACCAAACAGAAAGGCATTTAGGTGGATATTTTAGCATTCCAGCACAGCGAACAGATAATGGTGACCGTCTGCTGCAACTGTGCTCAGACAATCGCTTATTTTTAGCAAACACAAATTTTAAGCATAAGAAGAGACATCGTCTAACATGGCGAAACCCTACACTAAACCAACGATGGACACAAATAGACCATATTGCCATCAGTCATCGTTGGAGAGGGTCGGTAGAAGATTGTCGCTCATTCTGGAGTACCTGCTTGGACTCCGACCACGCCCTAATACGGGCACGCATCTGCTTGCGCCTCACTGGACGCAAAAAAGCCTCAGTAAAAAGAACAATTAGAACTGATTTGAGTAGCGAGAAAACCAAAAGTCGGTTCCAGGAACAACTGAGGTCACACTTAGTTCTGAAGACGAGGCTGACCAAGATGTTGCTTGGAAAGCTATACAAACAGCCCTGGAAACAGCAGTGACATCTATTAGTGATTTAAACCACAGGGTCACAAAGAACCAATGGATTTCCTCAAGGTTTATTGCACTGATGGATTCTCGTAAAATCATCCCATCAGGCTCTGAACACGATGAAGAGCGACAACAAATCAGATCTAGGTTAAGCAAAAGTCTAGGAAACGACCGTGAGCAGTGGTGGGCAACGAAAGCAAAAGGAGTGGAAAAGCCGGCGGCTGTAGGTAACACAAGACAGCTCTACAGACTAATAAAAGAAACTGGAATTAATAAGTCAAGTGTAAGTGAGACGATTTTGGAAAAGATGACACACACATCTGCTCTCAGTCCAGACGTTTAGAACGATGGGCGGAACATTTCAGATGGCCTTCAGCTACCCTACAACTACGCACCATTCCCATACAGTGTGAATAGAACATTGAAGTAGGTCCCTCGACGCTAGCTGAAGTTCAGAAAACTATAGATAATCTGAAACGAGGAAGGGCAGCTGGTCCAGATTGATTGGCTCCAGAGGTCTTTATGGATGGTGGTCCAATTTTAGCGATTAGGTTGACTAATATTTTAGCTAGGATCTGGGAGTTAGACGTTATCCCATCTAACTGGTCACAATCACTTATCATCCCAATATATAAGAAAGGGTCAAAATCATCTTGTGACAACGACAGAGGGATTAGTTTAACTAATATAATATCTAAAATACTAGCCTCAATAATTATCGGATGCCTAACAAAGACTCGTGAACTGCAAACACGAGAGACTCAAGCTGGCTTCAGACCTGGTCGTGGCTGCATCGACCACATATTCACCATTCGTCAGATTCTAGAACACAGGCATACTTATCGGCGTCCGACAATGGTGGTCTTTCTCGACTTAAAAGCAGCATTTGACTCGGTAGACCGCGAGATTCTGTGGCAGTGTCTGTCATTGAAAGGCGTACCACAGAAGTACATAAACCTTGTGAAGGCTCTTTACTCGAACACTACTAGTCGAGTCAGAGCTTATGGCGAACTGTCATCTACTTTTGCAACCTCAAGTGGTGTCCGTCAAGACTTTCCACTTTCCCCATTTTTGTTTAACTTCATCATAGATCTACTGATGGAAATAACTTTCTCGTCGACTGAGTTCTCGGGTATTGATCTCCTTCCAGGAGGTCCACTTATCGATTTAGAATACGCAGATGACATAGTCCTGTTTGGTGAAGACGCTGATAAAATGCAGTCTTTTGGTAGCACTGAGCAACGATACCAGGATGTTTGGAATGCGGTCCTCCCCCTCTAAATCCAAGTTGTTGCTTCAGGACTGGTCTGCGTCAACACCTGAACTAAGGATAGGGAGTGAGATGGTCGAACGCATTGACAACTTCACTCATCTTGGAAGTCTGGTCAGCCCTTATGGGTTGGTGTCTGATGAAATCTATGCGCGGATTCAGAAAGCTCGTCTGGCCTTTACCAACTTACATCACCCATGGCGAAGGTGGGATATCCATCTATCAATTAAAGGACGAGTCTACTGCGCAGCAGTTCGTTCTGTTTTACTTTACGGCTGCGAAACATGGCCATTAAGAGTCGAAGATATTCGTAAGCTACTAGTATTTGACTACAGATGCCTTAGAAATATTGCTCGCATCTACTGGGATCAACGGGTAAGTAATAGTGAGGTAAGACGTAGGCTATTAGGAAGTGATGGTAAATCATTTGATGAGATTGTGAATCTTCACCAGTTGGGATGGTCAAGTCGCGTGTTCCGTATGTCTGAACACCGATTACCACGACGTGCAATGCTGACAAGTGTTAGAGACGGTTGGAAGAAAGTCAGGGGCGGCCAAACCAAAACGTGGCATCAGTCCACAAAGACACTAACTTTTAGTTGGAGCCATGTTGGTAGATGCAGACTACTTGGTCGGGGTCCGCGTGACTATCGTAACCAATGGTTGGAGACTCTGGGTGAAATGTCTCGTAATCGATCACAATGGCGTATGTATATACACTCTTTATCTTCCTTTGAACTATGAGATTAAAATCACTTCATATCTTTCTTTCTACGAACTAATTCTCTCATCTTGTACTATGTCCTAATATGCAATCTTTCTTTTATATATTACTACCATTGAATTAACTACTATGAATTTGGTATCCATCTTTTTGTGCTAATGAGGTATGGCAACTTGGACTAGTGCATATATGCACCTGGTTTTACGTTGTAGCTGACTGACTTGATAGGCTTAACATGGCTATTTCTCAAGGTCGCTTGGCTGCAAGAGTCGGTTTTACAGACCTTACCTGTATACTCACTATGTACTGTTTACACACACTACATAATCGAGTTGTTAAAGATTATATCATATACAATTTAATGTGTTTTCTGTATATTTATTCGCTGTGTTAAGGAGAATCAGGACAGCTAACAAGTCAAGTATGACTGTTATTTACGGATAAACCACTATCCACAGAACTTACTTCCGATTATTTTTGAGCTATCGAGTGGTTTTTAATTGATCTTTCTCCTGTCCATAAGAACAGCTGTTTATCGAAAGATGAATACTGCAGAGGATATTTATGAAGCATAAGATAGGAACGGGGTCAATAGTAGGACCGTATGCACAAAACATGGCCTTGAACACGTAGCCACAAAATAGGCCAAGTATTACATGGTTCAGTAGTTTTCTACAGCTAGGCTCTTATTTTTTACAGAATTATAAATCAACAAGTTTTCATGAGGGGGTGTGAGATCAAGCCCACTATTAAACTGGGTAGTCGAAATGTATTCTTGGTAGCTAAGAGCTATTAGATCTTGTGATCTTCCCAGAAACGGTGAGACTATAATTTATGGATGACCTTTTAGCGACGCTGAAGTAGCTTGAGGGAAGAACTTCGAATTAGGACTAAATGAGGGTTATAAAGCAGTTAGAATTCTCATTTATAGTTGATGGTTAGGGCTTAGAATTAGATTTAGGGTTTTCATCACGAACTGACATCAGCATTAATACCCAAACTCTATTTAGCCAAATGTATGAGCGAATTCCGCGCCAAATTCGTGAATCGTTATCTTATATCTAGTTGGTGCGTCCATAAATTAGTCACGCCCTGGAAACTAAGCGATTAAAGGAAAACTTTGTTAATAATAGAAGTGAACGAGGAGCAAGAATATGAATAGTCCACCTTGGTGCCCACAGGACTGAAGCAATCGTCCTACCTACTTTTGAAGCAATCAGGGGACAACTTCGCAAAATACGAGCTGGGAAAGGTAAATAAATCTGTGCTCCAAATACTTCTTGGATAAAACTTGAAGTCATTCCCTAATTTTAGCTTGTGAAACAAATCAACTGATGATCATATGTTCATCATTTCATATATATAGAGTGGTATGGTCAGACGACCGTAGATATAGCGATATAGGAATATGTACTTAATGAAATATGGCGTGAGCCAAATCTCAATAAAATCAATTGAGATAGCTTACATTTAGAGTTCAGACTGATGACCGATTGAATTTAAGTTATACACTCAGTTATAACACCACCAGCTTATGTACCTCACCATTTGAAGTAGTGTCGGTTTAATATTCATTGCCTAAATAGATAATATACCGTTTGGTGGGTAAGATTATTAAGGGTCAATTATATAGTAGATAAGTAGTCTCATAGATACACATACACACACACGAAGTTGCATTGATGCTATCCAAACAAGCACAAAGTGCACTTGTAGGATGGAAATCTCATGAGCCGTGGGTCAGTTTCAGTTTGGAAAAGACAAAAGGCTTGATGGTCCGTGTTAGTCCTGACAACGGTGGTCTCTCAGCTGATTCAACCTCCTCTTGAAAGAGTCGACGGATGGAGCTTCAACCACGTGCTGAGGTAATGAGTTCCACTCCTTGATGATTCGCTGGGAGTCGATGGCGAGCTGACAAGTAATTTATTCTGGGCTTGTGAACCTTCTCGGAGTGTCCCCGCAAATCTTCTGCTCTGGAAGATAAGAAAAATGAGGACATATCAGGTGCAAATTTATCACTAAGCATTTTGGAAACTGTGCTCAAGTCGCCTCCAGTTCTACGATATGACAACGGGAATAGGTTTAGCTTGGCCAGTCGAACATCATACGGAAGCTTCGCTATTCCGGGAACCAGCCTAGTTGCTGTTCTCTGAATCTTTTCCAAAAGCTCACTGTCTTTTTTTAAGCCGTGGCTAGCTGCTTGTATGCAATATTCAAAGCCCCCTTCAAAACAAAGAAGGAAGACTTTTCAATTATCATCACCCAATGCTATGCATATCTCAAAGACTACAATGATGTTAAAGATCAATTCTACAAAAGGCTGCAGTCAACCGTCGTGACGTTCCCGACAAAGTACTTGACAATTGTGATGGGCGACCTAAATGCCAAGTTTGGAATGGACAACACCGGATATGAAGATATCATGGGACAACATGGACTGGGAGAAAGGAACGAACGTGGTGAGAGATTTGCAAACCTATGTGCCTTCAATAAACTGGTCATAGACGGCACTATATTCCCATGCACAAAGCCATACGAACCTCACCAGATCACAGTACACAGAACCAAATCGACCATATTTGCATCAGCAAAAGTTCAGAAGGACAATGGAGGGTGTGAGAACCAAGGGAGGAGCTGACATAGCCTCAGAACATTACTTGCTGGTCGCTAAGATGAAATCGAAACTCAAGAAACACTGGACAACGGGGCGGACAATATCACAAAAGTTCAATACGGCCTTTCTCCAGGATACTAACAAACTAAACAAACTCAAGATAGACCTCAGCAACAAGTTCCAGGCCTTTCATGATCTACTCAATGGAGAAGGAACTACTGTGGAGAGCACCTGGAAGGGGATCACTGTTGATACACTGAATAAATTTCAAGAAAGAAGGGACAAGAAGGCAGCAATCAATACCAGTCAAACAAGAGCAGAAAAAGCCAAGGCACAAGCTGAATACACAGAAGTTAACAAACAAGTGAAGAGGAGCATCAGAACCGACAAACGTATATATGTGGAAGATTTAGCAACGACGGCGGAAAAGGCTGCAAGAGAAGGAAACATGAGACAACTTTATGACACGACAAAGAAACTCGCTGGAAATTACCGTAAACCAGAACGACTAGTGAAAAGCAAGGAGTGTAAAGTAATCAACAACATCGAAGAACAACGAAACAGGTGGGTAGAACACTTCAAAGAACTCCTGAAGCGATCAGCCACACTGAACCCACCCAATATCGAAGCAGCACCCACGGACCTCCCAATCAACGTTGGCCCGCCAACAATTGAAGAAATCAGCATGGCCATCAGACAAATCAAGGGTGCCAAAGCAGCAGGACCAGACAACATTCCAGCAGGGAAACTGAAAGCAAAAGTAGCAGTAACGGCAAGGATACTCGACATTCCTCTCAGCAAGATGAGGAACAATTACCAAAAGACTGGAAAGAAGGACTTCTGGCCAAAATACTAGAGAAAGGCGATCTCAGCAAGTGTGATAACTACAGGGGTATCACCCTTCTCTCAATACCGGGAAAAGTCTTCAAAAGGGTATTGTTAAACAGAATGAAGGACTCCGTTGATGCCCAATTTCGAAACCAACAGGCAGGATTCCGTAAGGATCGATCGTGTACAGACCAAATCGCAACTCTACGGATCATTGTGGAACAATCAATTGAATGGAATTCATCACTCTACATCAACTTCATTTACTACGAAAAGGCATTTGATATCGTGAACAGAACAACACTATGGAAGCTTCTTCGACACTACGGCGTGCCTCAGAAGATAGTCAATATCATAAAGAACTCCTACGATGGATTAAACTACAAAATTGTGCATGGAGGACAATTGACAAACTCGTTCATGGTAAAGACCGGTGTTAGGCAAGGTTGCTTACTCTCGCCCTTTGTTTCTCCTGGCGATCGACTAGATCATGAGGATGTCAATATCTGAGGGGAACCATGGGATACAGTGGACAGATAGAATGCAGCTGAACGACCTGGACTTCGCAGATGATCTGGCCCTTCTACCGCAAACGCAACAACAAATGCAGAAGACAACCAGTGTAGCAGCAACCTCAGCAGCAGTAGGTCTCATAAATATGTACATGGATTTTTAACACGCATACTCAGTTGTTGGTGATTTCCCCTTGTGGCTTGTGGATTATTTTTAGCTGATGTTTAATAATAAACGATGTCTATAACTGGTGTTGTTCAGGCTGGTGCTCGAAATCCCAGCTATACCAGAATTTAAGGTGTAAAAAAGGTGAGACAGCGACTTAGCTTACTGAGTAGTTATTTTTACGTTATTAGCGTGGATGATGTTCAGACACTATAGGTATTGAACCTGACAGAAATGACAAGTTTTACAATGGAAGTTGTACTATTATCTCAGTTTGGTAGAGAAGTTACTTGTTACGTATGGAGTGTCATGATAAACTGGAAATCACTTCTTTTTTTTCCTTTTCAGTTTATTATATTTTCCGGCTAATCAAATATCAAATGTGATTATCTGTTCTCTGTGCCATAACACCATCAGATCCACCCAGGTAACTCTCCATTTCGCTTAGTTCAGCTAATTAAGCATTAAAGTCATGAGCCACTATTACTACATCACAGCGCCTAACGTTTTGGAGTAGGCCAGAAATCTTTCCGCAAAGCTCATCTTTTACATGATCTGAGCTGCAGTTAGTGGGAGAATAGGCAGAGATGACGAAGAGGCAACGACGAGTGTCCCTATCTTTCCGAGTCCTTACTGTTCCGTTTAGTGCTGTAAAGTGTGAACTGTGGTTTGCACGTTTAGAAATTTGTTTTGCTTTTTGTTGTTGGGAGGAGAATTACGAGTGAGAGCAAGAAATTTAGTTAGACAAAGTGGTTGCTGCCGGACGACGTTATTGAATAAGTGTCTGACGTTGTTTTTAAGTAGGATCTTGACTAACCATTGTCTTAAGCTAGGTACTATCTCACAACAGAGTTGGTTGAACTCCACTGGTCACGGCCTCTCACTGGAACTCCAGGAAATGCCTCTTGTGGTTATCGGTATTTCAAATGTGATTAACATGTTTAGTAAACTATTGACTCTAATTTATACATAATGAACGATAACATAATAGTTAAGTGGGTGAATTGAAGGTTTAGCATAAGAATAAATGAAAAATATCACTAAACAAGTGATTACTAAATACACAAAAAAATAACCGTGTTAACTCTTTAAATAAATTACCTTCGAAAATTTCAGTCACATTATTCTATCCTTTGTCCTATATATCTAACAGTTGTATATATAAATGATGTTGGCTAATATAGTTAGGATAAACATTTAATTAATTAGAGAATGTATTCACTTAATCATCTGATATCTGTTTGATTCAGATTCATATGTAATTCAGTTATAGAGTTTTTGTAATTCTAATTATTATTATTCTTGTCAATTAAAGATTTTACATGTACATTTTTGTATTACATTACTTTTTGATACAATAAATTCAGAAGGTAATTTCTAGTGATTATAATATGAACAGTTGTTTTATTTTGTTTGAAGTTTATTGCATTTCAGCTTTGAAACAAAAAGTAACTGTAGTGTTTGTATAAACTAATGATTCTTTTGTACTTGATATCTGATTAATTTTCAATTCGAAATATAGTACATTCGTTTGTGTTCATTTAGTTCTGTTCGGTCTAAATTGTTTTATTTCAGGGATTGGTAGTAATAATTCAAATATTTATAAACATCACAATAACATAAAGAAATAATTAATTTTAATAGTTGGATTCATGAGTCATTTAAAGCTAGACCGCCATTGAAAACCTGGAAGCACTGGACGGCCGTTTCGTCTTAGTATGAGACTCCTTAGCAGTGTGTATCCACGATCTCGCCCATGAGATTCAAACCCAGGACATATCGGTCTCGCGCGCGAACGCCTAACCACTAGACCACTGAGCCGGCATCTAATTTTGTAAATGTCTAACTTCAATCAGTCCACGATGGTGTGCCACCGTCCATCATTGTCTTCAATGAGTTACGATCTCACAACAGACCCATTTGAACACCATTGGTGGTTTAGCTTTAATTGATTCATAAATTGGACAATTAAAATCACTATAATATCCATAAAATCACCTTTCTGAAAATAATTAATTAACAAGATGGTAGTTAACATGACATTACTGTTATCTAATCATGATCATTTAATCTTATATGAAAATTATTTTTATCACACTGAAATTCATAAGAACAACATTAAATATTTAATGATTTTCTATACTTCTAGGGTTTTTTCCACAATCAGATATAGACAGAAAATGCTTACTAATGAAAAGAACCACAAGAAATCTAATTGGATTACAAACATTTGATTGATAATAATCATTTGAATATCAATCAACGTTTAGTAAACTTATATTCAATCACTGATGGGAATCAACAAAGAGTACTATGCATTCGTTTTGTAGTTGTTGGAATTCATCAGAAGGGAGTGTTTAGTATTTCTAGGGAATGAGTAATTTCCCAGAGATTTAACAT